ACCTATAAGCTTTTTCACTTTGCTTAAATAGTGAAAGAGTAAATACTTTATCGTCAAATGTAAAACATCTGCCTTTTGACTATGTCATTTGTGTTCTTATTTGCGATTCAATAAATTTACAAGTAATAGGATTTCTATGATCATTCATATACTTTACAGCTATTTTCAAACGTGTTCTGAAGGCACTATACCGATAATTAAATAAAGAGTTCTTCTTAGCTTCTTTAAGGGCATCATATAAACGTCCCTTTCTAGGAGTCAAATCCACCCTTCGTCTAATACATATATTTTTCAATATGCTTGAAGTGGACTTTTTTCTTCCTAAAAATAAATTTAATTAACTTAATTTAAGTTAAAGAAGAACAAATTTATTAAATAACAAAAAAAAAAAAAAAATAAAATATAATCACATAATTATTTAATCTTATATTTATACATTACCATTGAGAAGTGTTAATAATAATAATTCAAATCTAAAAAAAAATATAATCATCAATACCTGTGACTTTAGGCGTAGATATAAAATGTTAAGCCATATTTTAGACCTGTCAAAGGACATTACACCAACAATTTCATCTGAAAATACACAAACAGTTGAATTATTTTACATATTCAAAATATTACCTATAACAAAATTTATTTGAATTTCATATAATATACAAACCTAATATATTAGTAGACACAGTAACTGGTAAATTGGTTCCTTAAAATCAAATTGCTTGACCATGATATTGTATTTACCACAACCATAAAAACAATTGATATGTTGTTTAATTAATTTAAAAAAAATGTATTCTAACATTAATGTTAATTTATATTATAGCATTTAAACAAACATTTGAAATTAATATTATACCTGTTAAAGTTGGTAGATTTGTTTCTTCATTATCATTGGTTAGATAGATAAAATATATCAGAAAGCTCAATAAATAAGCGCGTTTTGGCGAGTTAATTTGTAGTAAACAGTTTTCTGCAATATTATAGTGCGGCCAGCGAAACTAGAAGCTTGACGGCCACGCGCCCTAGTGGCCGTTTTTCATTAGGGCTACGAAGAATGATTTCCCGCGTAAAACAATTTCAAACACATTTACACTTGTTGTATAGACCTGTTTCACAGCTACTCGTACGATACGCGTGCTTATCATATATTCTTAAACACAACGTAGCAACGCATTTTACTGATTATTTACAATAGAATGAGAACCACTTTTCGTGAGCCGGACTACTATATAACATATTCACTATATTCATTTCGAAAAACAACGCAGCTGTACAAACAACCAAAATATATAGAACCCCTGGTTTACACGAAAACGGTCACTAGGGCGCGTAACCGTCAAGCTTCTAGTTTCGCTGGCCGTACTATAGCAGTTGTTTGCTACTTGCTTAATAATTCGCCAAAACGGTAAATAATTGTTTGGTGGAAAATGTTTACTGATATGAATACTGATTACATAATCAATGAGATATCATTCCCATTTTTTTCAGTCCTTTTTTTTATTTACCAGAATGTTATTTAAATATTTAATTAATATTTTATTTCTCTAAACACATGAGATATCGCTACATGTAAATCTCGATGAGACATTGTATATTTTTACATAGCATTTAAATATTTTGGATTTATTTTAATAACACATTTTTGAATTTTAGATTCTTATGACATTATGGTATTTGGCAAAACCTGGATCAATGTTTTCTATAGCAGAATTTTTTAATGTTGCCAAATTAACTGTTAAAAATGTTACAAATCAAGTAATTATAAAATTATGCCATTTATCTCCTAAACTGATTACATTGCCTAACATTCAAGAAGCTTTAGTTATAGCTGAATAATTTAAAACTTGATCTGGATTTCCTGGTTATTTTCTATTATTATTACTACAGAAATATTTAATTTAAATTTTATTAGTTTTTGAAATAAACCTAAGACATTATTATATTAAACAGATGTTATTGGGGCTATTGATGGATCACATATATGTATTAAGACACCTATAGATCATCAGAATTGTTATACGGATAGAAAATTAAATAAATCCATTATATTACAAGGTAAAAATTATATTTAATTTTATATTATAATGTACAACTTTTTCAAATGTTGTTATTTTTTAGGTGTCTGTACATCAAAATACTTATTCACCAATGTCAATATAGGATTTTCTGGTCAACTTCATGATTTTAGGGTATTTTCAAACAGTGCATTAGCTATGAACATTTTAAGCCATGGACCAAATGCTTTATTTTACTTTAAGTATCATTTGCTTAGTGATTTAGCATATTCAAATAGAAGTTGGCTTGTAACTCCATTTAAAAACTATGGAAATCTAAGCATCAGGCATAAAAAATTACTAAACACAGTAAAACAAGAGTACCAATTGAAAATACATTTGGTTTACTAAAAGGTCGATGGAGAAGATTATTATTCATTGATACTTCTAATCTGAAGATGGCTTCTATGATTATATTAGCATGCTGTGTCCTACACAATTTTTGTTTATTAAATTTAGATTTTTTGGATGAATGTATCAATGACGAAAGCAGTATTGTCAATGCCCAGCAAAATTTTAACAGAAATTGTTTAGAAGTGCAATCAAGGAGAGAATAAAAGACAAGACTTACTTAATTTATTAGTACCTATTGTTTAATATGAATAATTCTATTTATTAAAATTTATATTTATGATTTATTATTTTGTCAAAATTATAAGGACAGTTCACTCACCTAACACATATTTGTGTTGTTATTTTTGATTTTAATACTAATATTTTCTAATTCTGTTTTAATAATTTTTATTGCAAATATGGTAAAAATAAATTATAATACTCTTTATCTTATAACATCTTATTCAAATTTCTTAAGTTTGAAAATAACAATAAAACAATACTAATAAAGTATAAGAATTTTTAAATTCATAAACAGATGTGAAAAAAAAATGTATAATACTTCTTACCTTAAAACAAAAATAAAAACTTCTAAATATGAAAATAACAATAACAAATTAATACTGAAATCTTAATCTTGAAATTTACTAACAAATTTAATATGAACTAATAAAAACAAATAACATGGATTTCTCTAAAGATAATAGAAACATAATTTAGTTAAAGTCTTCTTATGTAACATATTTATCATAGTCAATAAAATCAGTTAATAATATACTTATAGATATCTATTTATTATAGGAACACACTTTTGTAGCCTTTTTTTCTCTTTAACATTTTACATATATACATCAAAAGTATAACAGAAATTATTTTTTACTTATAAAATAATTAATAAGTTGAGATAGAGTTTTGTTTTGTTCTCTTTGTTCAGCTATAATTTGACGGTTGAGATCCATAAACTGTTTTTGAACTTCCATGTCTTCTTTATGCTGCCTTTGTATTTCTAATAAAATTGGATTTGGAGGTTTTGTACTTTTCTTGACATTTTTAAATCGTTTTGTTGGTGGTTCATCAAATGAACTAGAACATTCTAAATTTTCCTCTTCACATTCAGCTGTGTCTTCAAATGCATCAACTGTATTTTGAAGAGAATTTATATTTAAAGTATCTAGTACAATAGTTGGCTTAATAGTATGTTTAATAGCAAGTATAGAATGTAATAAGTCATAATATGGTGGTGTATCTTTACGACGTTTACCTGTTGCTTTGGGACCTGCATTTGTAATAAAGTAACTGTAATTTTTTTCTAGGTTGTGCCACTTTTGATTACATTTAAAATCACCTTTAGCTGTATCAGCTACACGATAACCTTTTTTTAACATATCCTCATAAACTTTTTGCCAAACTTTGATTTTAGGGGTTTTCTTATCTTTTAACAAAGTTTATATTTCATCATTTTTAACAATTTTAATAAAACATTCAGTTGCCTCAAGGTCAGTTGGTCTAGGCCTAGTTGTGTTCCATACAAAAATATTATTAATGTTGAATTTTACATCATTTTCATCAGTTTTTGAAACAGCTGAAATATTTGAAGATTTATTTATATCGCTAACAATTACATTGTCATTGACAATAGTTGACTGTTCAACAGTGTTTAAAGGAATATCAATTCCATTTTCTGTAAGATCATTTGTCAATACAAATTGTTGTATATTGTAATCTGCATTAAGTTCTACAAGAAAAAAATTATAAAATTGAGTTGGTTTAATTATCTATACAACAATTAAAATTTTCAAAGACAATAAATTTAAAAATAATAAGGGTAGCTTTTAATTGAGAATTTTAAAGTAATATATAGTAATTAAAATTACCTTGCAGTTTGCAAAACACTTCATCTCCTGTGTCATTAAATATTACATTATTATTATCTTCACCACGTACAAATGCAACAAAAGTATAAGACATGCTTGGAGATAGAGATAGGTTTAGAGATATAGGTGTTACTTATAGTTACAAATATTTAATTTATTATATAATTATTTAAATTTAAATCTATTGTATTAAAATAATTCCCCGATCGGTGATTAGTCGGAAAAATTTTTAAATCCCGCGGAGGCTTTTTCGTTTCTCCGTTGACCGTTTCCCGTAGACTTTTGTCTCTTCTTTCCATTTCAGGGGTCCGTTTGATTTTCCGACCCACCGTTTTTCCGATGCGACCGGATGAAAATCCAAGATTTTCTCGACTAAGCACCAGCCCAATCGGAGCGTTCTGTACCTGTGCCTCTCGCACCGTCGTGACGTTTCGCTCGCACGTGACGTCACCAATTGACGATCGTGGCACTACCTTATCTCCCCGTTAAACTGTTTAAATGCCCAAATTGTCCTATTTGATTCCAACTCGATAGGTCGGTAGGCTGTAGGTGTAGGTCCCGATAGGTCCTCCGTTGGTACAGACCTCGATTCCGGGCCACCGCTGCCGGCATTCTTTGCAGAATTTCCGCCGCCGTCGACGATCGTTAGCGCCGTCACTTCCGCTCTCGCGGAATCTGTTTTTTTTTCCGTCCGTCGCGTCCGATTTTCGCCGCCGTCGTTTGTTATCAACTACCGCCTCCGTATCTTATCGACGAAATTGTTGATGCCGTTCGCGGTTCCTTTTTTATTTATTTTCCGTCGCGTCCGTTTTTTTTTTCGTTTCAAACGTTTTTTTGTGAGTGCGTTTTATTAGTTCATCGCATTAATCGTATTATTTAATATTCGATTTGTATAACCGAAAAATCGGATGGTTTCATTTCATATATTGATTTGATGCGAAAGAGTTTAATGATATTACTAAACGAATTATAAAATGAAGAAAACATGGTACGTATTACGTTTAAATTATAATTTGTTTTTTATAAGTGTTAAATACGTTTAATACCATTTGTTTTGCCAAACGATGTAGGGAGATAGCTGTTGTATGATTTCGTTTTACTTTTTTCATTCGAATGCAATTTGATTCAACGTGTCGTCGGTGCTAATGATACTAACGTAAATAACGATAAAACGTACACAGCCATAAAATAAAGAAAATTTGGTATGAGTTACATTTTACAACTTCTACGTTCGACTACATATTGAATGTTACTTTTTTCAGTTTTAGTAATGAGTCTTACAGTATCAGCCGTTACACTTGGACGAAAGGAAATGAAAATTTCTATGATATTATGAAGGTAAGAAAAACCAGTAAGTTTAGCCTTCTTCGTAATATATGCTATATATGTACATTAATTTTTATTTGTTTTACCAAAAAATAAAAAAGAATTTGATTGACATTAATGATATTTTTATAAAAATGAAATATAATATTGATCACACATATGATTATTAAATCTATCGTTAAACTATGATTTAATTGTTGCTTTAAATAATGTTAAATAATTATAAATTTGTTTTTTAAATATGTTGAATACATTAAATTTGATTTATTTTTCCAAATAATATAGGGATATATAGCTGTTGTATGTTTTCATTTTACTTTTTTTCTTTGGAATGGAATTGAATTCAATGTGTTATTAGTGTTAATAATACTATTTGAAACGTACACACCTGTAAAATAATGAAAATATGGTATGTAATACATTTTTTAACTCCTTCTTTCTATTACATATGTATAGAATGTTATTTTTTCTGGTTTTAGTAGAATAATCCTACAGAATCAGTCCTTACACTTGGATTAAAGGAAATTAAATATTTATGATATTATAAAACAATAAAACGCAGAGAGTTTTACATTTTTGTAGATTATTTTCCTTATACTTTATACGCTTTAAATGTGTTTTTTAAAATTTGATAGTTACATTAATTTTAATTTGCTTTACCAGAAAAATAATAAGTCAGAGCTTTTGTTTTACCGAAAAATATGAGGAGATACAGTTAATCGGATGTTTTCATTACATATACCTGCAATCTATGCAATATATTATATTATATATTAATACAATATATAAAATATATTGTGTTTACCAGTTTGATTTAATGTGAAAGGCTGTAATGATATTGTAAAATGCATACATAGCTATAAAATGAAGAAAACATGGTATGTGATATATTTTAAAATTGTTTTATAAAATGAGTCTTATAGTATCAGTCCTTACAATTATATGTAAGGAAATGAAACCTTTTATGTGATATTATAAAAATAATAAATTCCAATAAGTTTTTTTTTTTTGTAAATTATTTTTTTATTATTACAGTTATAAAAATTAAAAATCAAATTATATGCAATACTTTTTATAATTCTAATGATCACACATATGTTTATTAAGTCGATCGTTCGACTATGAATCAATTGTGATTTTTACCTTCTACATACAATATGCTTTAAATGTGTTTTTAATATATTTATTAATTACACATTTATTTTTATATGTTTTACTAAAAAATATTAGAAGATAGCTATTGGATGTTTTCATTGATATTGTGTCTTTAAATTATGTTATATAATTACATATTTGTTTTAAATACATGCAATTTGATTTATATTTCCACATAATATAGGGAGATGTCTGTTGTATGTTTTCATTATACTTTATTCTTTGGAATGGAATTGAATTCAATGTGTTATTGGTGCTAATGATACTATTAAAAACTAATACAGCTATAAAATAAAGAAAATATGGTATGTATTACATTTTTTAACTCTTTCTTTCAATTATATATATTTAATGTTATTTTTTCCGGTTTTAGTAAAAAAGTCTACAGTAACAGTCCTTATACTTAGATAAAAGGAAATGAAAACTAATATGATATTATGGAAATAAGAAGAACCAGTATGTTATACCTTCTCCATACAATATGTGTTTTTAAAATTTGTTTATTACACATTCATTTTTATTTGATTTACCATAAAATATTGGGAGAGAGCTATGGGTTTTTTTGATTGAAGAGGAATTTGATTGACTTTACTGATATTTTTATTATCACATACAGTTGTAAAATTTAAGAATCAAATTATATGGAACACTTTTTTTAATGCTTTTGTTCACATATGTTCATTAAGTTTATCGTTCTACTATGATTTAATTTGTGTCTAAATTATGTTAAATACGTTCAATTTGATTAATTTTTCCAAATAATATAGGGACAGAGCTGTTTAATGTTTTCATTGCACTTTATTCTTTGGAATGGAATTTAATTCAATGTGTTATTGGTGCTAATGATACTATTCAAAACAAACACAACTATAAACTAAAGAAAACATGGTATGCTATACATTTTTCAACTCATTCTTTCAATTATATATATTGAATGTTATATTTTTGGTTTATATAAATAAGTCTTATAGTATCAGGTGTTACACTAGGACGAAAGGAAATTAATGGTAATGAAAACTTATGTGATATTATAAAAATAAGTAAACCCAGTAAGTTTTACCATTTGTGTAAATTATTTTCTTTGTACAATGTATGCTTTGAATGTGTTTTTAAAATTTATTTATTACATTCATTTTTATTTGATTTACCATAAAATATTATGGGAGATCTATGGGATGTTTTCATTGAGATGGAATGTAATTGACTTTTTTTGATATTTTTATTCTCACAAACAGTTGTAAAATTTAAAAATCAATTTATATGCAACACTTTTTATAATTCTTTTGTTCACATATTTTATCAAGTCTATCGTGCGACTATGTTTTAATTGTGTCTTTAAATTAAGTTAAGTACATTCACTTTAATTTATTTTTCCAAATCATACAGGAGATAGATGTTGGATGTTTTCCATTATACTTTATTCTTTGGAATGAAACTGAAGTCAATGTGTTATTGGTGCTAATGATACTATTCAAAACAAACACAACTATAAAGTAATGAAAACATGGTATGTATTACATTTTTTAACTCTTTTTTTTTCAATTACAAAAATATATATAAAATGTTATTCTTTCCGGTTTTAGTAAAAGTCAGTCCTTACACTTAAATGAAAGGAAATAAAAAACTTTTATGATATTATGAAGATGAGAAAAACCATTAAGTTATCCCTTCTTTGTACTATAAGCTTTAAGTGTTTTTAAAATTTGTTAATTACATATTCACTTTTATTTGTTCTACCAAAAATTATGAGGACAGAGCTATTGTATGTTATCATTGAGAAGGAAAGTGATTGACATATATGATATTATTATGAATACAGATACAAAAATTACAATTTTTATAATTCTATTGTTCACATATGTTTATTAAGTCTATTGTTCAACTATGGTTTAATTGTGTCTTTAAATAATGTTAAATAATTATAAATTTGTTTTTTAAATATATTAAATTCGTTCAATGATTCATCTTTCTAAATAATATAGAGAGACAGTAGTGCCATGTTTTCATTATATTTTATTCTTTGGAATGGAATTGAATTCAATGTGTTATTGGTGCTAATGATAATATTCAAATCAAACCCAGCTATAAAATAAAGAAAACTTGGTATGTATTACAATATTAAACGCTCTTATTCCTCTATGATATAAATGTTTTTGTATAATATCTTAAACTAAATATTGTTTATTTTGCTCATAGTGGGTTGCAGAGTAATGAATTAACGAATGCTCATACACCAGTGTAGTACTGTTGTACCCAAGAGCTTGGTTATTATTATACTTTTCTTCTAATATTATAAGAAAAAATTATAGTCTTAGTATAGTTTATTTATTTAAACTGTATCTTACTGGAACGTTTTATATAATAATAAAAGTATTTGCTTTGATTATGTTAAGTTTCATATTTGTATACATTATCTTCACATATTCTTTAAGCTTAAAATCACATATATGCTATGATTACAAGAAACTTTCACACTCTGTCTTTCATAAATTATTTATATTTTTATATATTCATTCTGTATATTTTTTTTAAATATTGTCGATAAGTACTTTTATGTTCTCTTAATGCGAGAAAGGGGTTGGCGACCTCCACGTGGTCTTTCTTGGATGCGTTTTTCACTGAGAATAATGAGTGTAAAACGTAACTAACGCCAACATTTATGTATACACACCTAATATAAAGTATTCAATTATCGCACAAATTTTTTATTTCAGTTATCATCAAGGAAGATCTATATTAATTTTGATAGTTTTTTGTGTGCAGACTGACATTGTATATACACTGTCTAATTAATATTGAAAGAATAAGTTATGCATTGTCTTCTTTCTTTGAACCGACTATAGTGTGATTGAATGTTTTTTTACTTTGATAATGTCAAGTTATCTAGCGTTTATGAGACTTATAAATTGTTGTATCTAAGATACTTTTCATAAAAGTATTCCTTCGGTAAGTTAAGTTACGGAAGAAGACATATATAATGCTTTTGTAATTATAAATATATATTTTATTCTGTAATTGAAATATCAAAATCTATATGCATATTTATACCACTTTTTAAATTCTATGCCAGTCTATTAAATATAAATTATACACATATGTAACTTTTAACTATTGTTGAGAAGACACTTAACATTGTAAGGTTACTATTATTATGTTTGATTATTTTCAATTACACTGCGGTTTGCCCTCTGCTATTTCATTTTTTTTTTTATGTACATATAAATGTTTTATATATTTATTGTATTGGTTTTTATACGTTTGACACGATGCATCGATTGTTAGTATAGTATCGTAAGTATGGTGCCATAGTATTTTTAAGAAAACAATTAGGTGAGGGACTCCTAGATAGCGAACGCCTTTGACGCCGAAGGCGTATCAATTTTCCACAAGTATATTATCAGTAGTTAATAATTATTACAAGTAGTAACCGTGGTAGTATTGCATGATACATTGTACCTACATAATAATGTTTTGATTATTAATAATTGATATTATTAGTATTAATAATTCATATTATTGATTAATAAATATTAAGCGATTTTCACCCGTAGCAAGGCACACAGAAGCTAGTATTAAATATAAAAATTAAAAATTATTATAATTTTTTTATGGTAAGATTTTCTTATCAATGATCATGAATGATAATGAGTCACCAACACTAGTAAACACCACACAAGACATGTTTATTAAAATAGCAACCAGGTTTTTATAAAGTGCTTTAATGCACAAATAGTTGCACTAAATAATCTCGCTAAAACACAATGTTTACTGATTGAGTAACCTGTTTGCTACAAACTACCTCACCAAAACGCTCTTAATGTTATTAACATTTAATTATCAGTCTTGGTTCAGATATACTGTCGTACAATCGATATTAGTGCAGCGTGTTTGCGTTATCGTGTTCATTTCGTTACATACAAATAACCAAAGATCGTGGGTTTTTAAACATCAATTATTGTTTGTAATAATTATAATGCCAGCTTGCAATAAATGTTCAACTACTATCACACGCGCCTTATCGATTTCATGTGCTATATGTTCACTACACTGGTATGCGAAATGTGTCAATTTAACAAAAGATGAAATAGAATATTTCGAATCAGGTGACAACAAATGGAAATGTGAAAATCATACAAAATCCAAAAGACAAAGTATGCGTTTAGATACCAAAATAGACGAAGGTAATTTAACATTGCTAGATATAAAATAACTACTAGATTCC